GCTATAAAGATCTGAATATCTATGTATTGTTTTAACAACACTTGTTGATAAGTTTATAATCTGTTCACTTTATCATTTGTAAAAAGTCTTTGGTTTTTCAGTTGAACATTATTAAAACTAACAAATTTATACGTTTTTTTCAATATAGGTCGAAATAGACCATTATTGGTGTAAATATGACCATTTTGTTCAGTTTATTAAAGTAAATTAAAGTATCTACTTCAGTCTGGAGTTTAAATATACTTATATCTCTAAAATATTACATCCTGTTTATCAGCTCAGGTGGATAAGATTAGATGGCTGATATATGAACACTAAGAAAAAACAAACAAACAAACAAAGAAAACCAAAACAAAGGTAAGGTACACTGAACAATTATCAATGTTTATTGTTTTTTAATCAATTTATGAATGTTAATTTTAAGAACAAACATCCTTTTTAATTATCTTTATTAGAATTTGATGTGCTGAAACTAAACTTCTCACTTTGGCCCCGACCCAAACAGTGTATGGATCACAGATATTAATACGTTTAGAATAGAATAGAAACAGCCTTTATTGTCCCGCGCGGGGAAATTCAGGTGTAGTAGCAGCAGCAGATACATACATCAATCCACAGAAACAGTATACATGTGACATTATCAGTTGGAGCAATAATAGTAGAATTAAAGACAGTAACAGTAAAAAATAAACATAGATCAAAATAAAAAGTAAGAATAATCATTACTGTAATGGGCTATCAAGCTGAAATTGGATAAAATGAAAATAAGGCAAGAAACTGTGCAGAAAAAATACAAAGGAAAAAAATAGTTTAGAATTTTTCAGTTTGTTTATTTTTTTATTACACTAAATTAGATTTAGATGTAACATTGATTAAGATCCATTCTGTTGTTTACTAATCTCAAGACCTCCAGATGGTGATGTTTTTGTCTGTTTCTTTTGTGTGGACTTTCCCTTTAAAAGCTTTCCTGTGGGTTTACAGGTGTCAGGCTGGTACTGGCATGTGTCCAGTGGACAAAGCTCATCGGAACCAGTGCCAGGCCTGCCGGCTGAAGAAGTGCCTGCAGGCGGGCATGAATAAGGACGGTGAGTTTACAGATGAATGTTCAGCTGCAGTTCAGGACTTTGTCCTCAGCTGTAACAGGCTGTGTGTCTGCAGCTGTGCAGAACGAGCGTCAGCCCCGCAGCACAGCTCAGGTCCGCCTGGACTCCATCAGCGTGGATCCTGAGAAGGAGCACCTGGCCACCACCCGGGAGCCCACCTCCTCCTCCTCCTCCTCTTCCTCCTCCTCCACCTCCTCTGGTGGCTCTGTCATCACGTGGCCTCACATCAGCTCCTCCATGTCCATCAGCTCCTCTGTGGCCCCCCAGCGCTGCGTCAGTCCTCAGAACAACCACCGCTTCATGGCCAGCCTGATGACGGCAGAGACCTGCGCCAAGCTGGAGCCCGAGGACGGTGAGGAGGTCCTGGTCTGCACACAGCTTTCATTTCACACTTGGTTCGATTCTGGTTGAACTCAGACAATCCTCAGAATCTGAAACCTTTATAATAGGTCATATATATAT